CACCGAGTGCGCCTTCAGCTCGCCAGCTCTTGGACCCAGTTAATTAGTAAATGGGGCTTAACTTGACGATTCGCTGACGGGAACGACAAACTCGATCCAACATGCCTAAAGTTGCAGAACACTGGATTGAGAGATCAAGCAAACAAGGCGAGGCAGTCTACTCGACAAATCATCCAGTCATTAGGTGTCCTCGAGCTACTTTGTGGAATGGCTTCGAAAAAACTATATTTCCATTTTCTAAATTCGAGGTGTTACATTATCTCCCGATTTGGAACATTCGTCCTCGAATGAGATTCTAATCATCTTGAGAAAGAAAATACTCAAAACTAGAAGTTCATTATGCATGCAATCATATAAATGCACGTATCAAGGAGGGAACATCAACTCTAAGCAAAACATACTTAATATATCATAAGGAAGGTAGGAACTAGATCTAGAAACCCACTATGCATGAAATTAAAGATTACTCATATTCAAGGAGGAATTACCATCTCCAAGATAAAAGCATGCTTAACATCATCTCACGGAGATTATATGCAATCTATACTCAAAAGCATATATCCAAGAAGTAAAAATATCAACTTCAAGCTAAAATATGTTCTTCAATTTATCTCATGAAATCTATAGGAAACTCATACTCAATGCACAAACAACATGAGAACAATCAATCATGTAAACTCATTTTCTTTCAAGACACAAGTTTTTCATGAACATGCATAAAATGAGGAAGTCCTAGGGATATCTAAAACACATGACACCACAACAAGGAGCGAACCTTAAGGAACTCATTACCTCAAACTAGAGTAGAAGTAGAATGAAAATGATGAGGATATTAGGATAACATATCAGCTTCCGTCTCCAAGTAGCACCCTCAACTAAATGACTTCTCCCAATACTTTAACGGAAGAAACTTCCCTGTTTCTCAACTTCTTATTTGCCGCTCTAAAATATCAATCAGAACTTCCTCATAAGAAATAAACTCTTTAACTCCCAAATTCTAAGGGAACTATAGATATCAGATCACCCACACATTTTTTCAACATAGAGACATGAAAATTGGATGCACCGATGCCAACTCATTAGGCAAATCTAGCTCATAAACAACAATCTAGCTCATAAACAACCTTACCACTACGTCTCCAAATTTGATATGGGCCTACATATCGAGGACTAAGCTTCCCTTTCTTATCAAACCTCATTACACCCTTCATTGTGAAATTTTCAAGTAAACCCAATCATGAACATCAACCTCAAAATCCCTTCTTCTTACATTGACATATGACTTTTGCCGACTTTGAGATGTTATCAACCTTTCTCTAATAAGTCTAACTTTCTCTATGTCCTCATGTACCAACTCGGTACCTATTAGGGAGACTTCACCAACCTCAAACCATACTATAAGATATCTACACCTCCTATCATGCAATGTCCCAAATGGAGTCATATCAATACTCGAGTGATAAGAATTATTATAAGCGAACTCAAACTCAATGGAAAATGGTCATTCCGATTTCCCTTAAAATCAATCGCACAAGCTCTTAACGTGTATTTCAAGGTATGGATAGTACGCTCCACTTGCCCATCGGTTTGGGGATGAAAGGCTTCATCATGATTATTTAGCAGAAATCGTAGCTAAGGAACTATACTAGTGAACTACCCAATTTATGTAAATTTTTCACGATTAATGATTGGACATTATAAAATAGAAAATGATTTTATTGTCTAAATATGTCTAAATAAAGATATTACTCGATCTATTTTCGTATCGCTCATGATATATATCAACACTCGGACATCTATTGCAAGTGCATACCCCACTTTTGCACAGCAGGGTTATAAAAATCCACGAGAAGCGACTGGGTGTATTGTATGTGTCAGGGTGTATTGTATGTGTCAATTGCCATTTAGGTTATTCGTAGAGATTGAGGTTCCACAAGCCGTAGAAGTGAATTGGGTACCACGATTGGAAATAATGGACACAGGCACTCCGTGCAACTTTACCATTTCTCTCAAGTACAACTTGACATAGTCATTAGCAAATATGTTAAGTTGTGGTTTGGATTTGTAGATGTTAGTTCTCCTAACCTTGGGTAGTTGAATCGTGTATCATAGTTGTCTTTTGCTTTCAGTACATTTTCGACTCTGTTTCTTATCCTTTATACCTTGTTTTTTCTCCAATTGCTTGTCAAACATATTATATCTCCTGCATAGTTACTTGTGATGTACTTATCGCATTACATAGTTACATATTGTTTATTTTTTTATTCTCATACTATACTTTTGTAACCTCCAAATCACTGTACAAGTTCTCGTCGTTGATATGGAGCTCGTGAAGAGCAACTTTTGGAATTTAGAGACTAGGGGCGCACCTAACATTTAGAGTTACAAATTTCCATCTATTTTGGTTAGGCTACTCTTTATATTGTATTCAGAGACAACCTATACTTGTATTGTATTTGTAAAAGCTTTGTACTGGTACTTTGACTAGGCATTCTATTATTGAATGATGTCAGATCTTGGGGATGATTTCTTGCATTATTTCAGTTGATCTCTCTTTCTTCTCATTGTTACTAGCTTATTGCTTCTTATTGATTATCTTCCTCTTGACAACATGTTACATGGGGGTGCAGGTTAAGGGTTAGGCTTACCTACTTGTGGGGTTTAGTAGGTGGCAACATGACTTGAGAAATCGATCCGTGATAATTTTTTCCTACTTGCATACTGAACTCAATAGAGATGAAAATTTTATTATAAAAAAAATCATGCGATAAGTAGAAATATTATCCTAAAAACATATGTATATATCTAATGCAAGATGAGAAAAAACTGAGAGCGGAGAGTTATCGAAGTGGGATAGGAATTTTCTGAAAATATTAAAAATAACATCTAATTTTTTTTGGAGGGAGGGGAGGAAGGGTTTAGGGGAAAGAGGGGGTGAAGTAAGATTTGTTTTTTTAAAAAAAAAACACTTAATAGAAGAAATATAAGAATTTAAGAAAAATACTTGGGGGGGGGGGGGAGGGGTACGGTGGGAGGAGGTGGTGAAGCGGGACAAGAAAATATTGTAATTTATCTTTTATCTTTTTTATAAAAATAACAATTTATACTTTGGGGTAGTGGTACTTTTATATTTAACTTTTAACTAATAAAAATAATTTATTTATTTTTGAATAAGGCGCAAATACCCTCTAGACTATAACCAAAATTTCAGAGGCACACCTAAACATAACTAGGGTTCTAGTTAAGTTTATATGTATCTCTGAGATTTCGGTCATAATCTAGAGGGATACTTGTGCATTATTTCTTTATTTTATCAAGATAGAATGTTTTGTTTATGTGGAGTGTCATGTTATATTTTTGGGGGGAAAAGGTCAAAAATATCCCTCAACTTTAACTTATTAGTTGATTATATTTCTGCCGTTAAAACAAAGTGATATATATCCTTATCGTTACTAATTTCACCATTTATACTTCTGAATTAAATGAAAAACCTCAAATCAATTAAAATAACCAATTTTATTTAAATTACTTACTTTTAATTAAACCCGACCCGCCTAATAATATATCCCATTTTTCAAATATAAGATGGTGGAAACTAAAAGTGGTCCAATAGGAGTGTTTTGGATGGAGTAGAATTAAACCGCGGCAAGGGAGAGGGAACAGACAAAGACTTGGGAACTGAAAAGACCAACCTTTTCTTAGTTTGTTTTTGGCGCTTTTATCTCTCATTCTCAATTATCACACGCACAAAACACAGACAATATATAAGTAATAAAACTTGAAAGCTACAAGCCTCCTTGTCCCTTTCCTAGCCACTCGTTTATTGGTCTTCCTTTCATCCTTGACTTTTACTTTTCAAAATATTTAAATACTTACCAAACATTCATCTATTTAGTTATATAAATTATTGTCTTTAATACTTTACAAAATCAATTCAGACATTTTATTCTTAAAAATTATTAGTTTTGTAAATTTGAATTTAATCAACATAAAAGAAATTAAGTAATTAATCAAGGATATAGCTAACTTGACCAAAAAGTTTGGTCAAAAATTTAAAATGGGTGAAATGTATTTTTTATTTTAAAATAAATTGATTTTTTTTCATTTTTACACAAAAGGTGTTAAAGATAAATAGATAAAATGTTCAAAGTTATTTTTCCATTCTGGACAAAAGGATTTCTAAATGAGCGAACAAGAGTAAATTTACCTAGTTCTTTAGGAGGGTGAAATGATAACAACTAAAGAAGAACGGAGGTAATATAAATTTTTGGATAATTTATTAAAAAGTAAGTTATTTATATATAATTCACAGTTTGAAAACCCTCATCACAAAAAATATATATGTCATAAAAAAATATGTGTATCATCTTATCATTATTAAGAATAATGAAATAACTAATAGTGACGTAACTAATACATGAATAATTGTAACTACTTAACAAACTAATCCTTAGATTTGTTTGGTGTGATGTACATAAGTAATAATGTCAGGATAAAATACAATATTATTTTATCTCATGTTTGATTGTAGGTATATAAAGTAGTCGTTGAGCTAGTTATCTAACCATTTTGGATATAATGACAGAATAAATTATTTATATACACATGATAAAATAACTTATTTCGAGATAATTTGTTTCCAACCAAATGACTCGACTATGGCTGTTTGTCTATGATGCCTATTGGCTATTAACCTAAAAAGTGATGCAATCTTTTCTCCCTTTCCAACTCTCACATAGAAGTTCAATTCCTTGAATCCTCACTCTTTTCAAGCTCGCTGAGTATATTTCATCCCTACCCCTATACTAGTAAGTCCCACTTCTTTTTTTTTTTTTTACCCATTAATCAGAGACCACACACCATTGTTTCTGAGTAACAAGTCACAAGACACTACTTTACATATCTTTTGTCAGTTGCCACTTTACTGGTGTATGATGGAGTGTTTGTCAGTGAATGAATGGCTGTAAAGACTAAGTCAGACTTGTTCCTTTACACTTGTCTCTGCTTTTTTGAAAAGAATGGGTCTTTATAACTAGTATTATTGATTATTGCTCCATCCAAAAGACTAGTTTCATCTTACAACCAAGAAAGCTAAGGGCTACATTTTACAGTCAAATTACAGATAAAAGAAAAGGAAACTCCTGTCATCCTTTTTTTCCTGTTATCTTTTTTCTCTTCTGTCATCTCTATTGTGTGTTTTGCATATTTTGAAACTTAAGTACAGTTAAGTATCTTTTTCCCCTAAAAATTGTTCCTTTTTATAACCTTCCTCTAAATTTACACATGTTTCTTGATTTTGGAGACATTGTAGTTAGATTTTTGCTTTTCATTGTGTAGTTCAGTTGGCAGTTTTCTTTTCCCTTTTTGGATTTTGGTTGGTCCAGCTGATGAGTAGCTTTAATTGGAAGGTTATTTAATCATTAGACTTCAGCCGACAGTAGATTAATTTATGTATAATAATATAGTAATAATAATCCGTATGATAAAAGTTTGAAAACATCTCTGCATTATTGTGCGAACACTGTGGCTTAATTTATATATTTATATATCTGAAATAACTTTTCAAGATTCTCTTAATCCCTATTTTGACACGTATTATTGTTGAGAATTTTACCTACATGTTCTTCCTTTTTGCAAACTTGGTCATTTAATCATTTGTGAAAATAGTTTATCAGTTGTTTTGATTTTGTGGTACATAATCTGCACATCTTTTTACAGCTTGTGTTGAAAACTGCGGTATGGTTTGTTGGATCTTGTTAAATGTTTCGATTTTGTTTTATTGGATTTGATGTGATGAAAATCTTGGAGTAGGTGGTGGATGGGATGAGCATAAAAAGGAGGTGATTAAGGTCTTGGAGCGGACAAAAGCTAAATTGTAACTATACTTTCACATTTTGTGACGTTGTTAACTCAGGTCAAGAATTTAGAGGCAAAAATTGAATTGTGTGATGGAATCATCATCATCGTCATCAAAAAGGGCCAAGGCACCAGGGAATATAGCTCATTGCTTGGTTGATGGGTGTAATGCAGACCTAAGTGAATGCAGAGAGTATCATCGCCGGCATAAAGTTTGTGAGGTGCATTCAAAGACTGCCAAAGTCACAATTGCAGGTCGAGACCAACGCTTCTGTCAACAATGTAGCAGGTAATGCTCTTATTGTTTGACTCATTTTGTTGTCCATAAATTTGCAGGGGCGGAGCTCAGTGGGGATTTGGATGAACCCAGTACCTTTTTTATACACCTTGTATTTGTATAGGAATTGTGTATATTAACTTGTTAACCCCTAACAAAAGGAGCCGCGGAAATGCTTGCCACACTAAAACTCCTAATCTTGGCTCTGCCTATGCTCTAATGCATTCAAACAAGTGATACCGTAGATCAAATAAGGAATCAAGCAGTCATGAAAGGCAGGTTCTGTTTACTCCCAGTTCATTGCGTTGGAGACAATGTTTGGTTAAAAATTGGAATTCCCGCCTGTATAAGGGAGAATATCTAGTTGTTCGGAAGAGCACATTAATAAGGAAGGCTTACTGAAACTTGAATGGAGGAATATTTCCCTCTACTTCCATTTATTATGAGAGGATAGTATGTCAATCTGGTGTCATGTTGCTCTTCCCTTACTTCCTAGGATAGTAATCAATATTATAACAAGGTCAGTCTTCATTATGTTTTCACGAAATTAACTTAAGTTCCAAGCTTGTAAACTATTTTATGCAATAGAGTTGGTGACAAGGTTTGTTCCGTAAACGTTGGAGTTCCTCATAAAGGCTAGAAAATGAGCAAACTAAGGTGTTAATTCATCGGAAGATGGGTAAATTAGAAGATTCAAGTGCATTTATTTACGCCTGAATAGAATAACATGTTCTTCTTTCTCCCAAAGTTAGACTTGTGACTTTGTTCTTGACCCTTGGTATACCAGATAGTTCAGAAGATTGTAATTAGAGAGGTGTCTAGATTGGTGTAGAAGGTAATCAAGATAGTGGGCTAATATTTTAGTGCTAGGATTTAACCTATTGAAATAGATCATGATCTTGATTCTTAATTAGAATTCACTTTCCTCCACTTCTTTCTGACAACGTGAACCTCAACTTAACGAGTTCTGGCATGCATTGGAGTATTGGTGTTTGATGCATTGCTTTCAATTCTAAGAGTCAGAATTTTTTCCTTTATAATGTAATGATATCTAGAAGAAATCTTCTGCTTTATCAGCAATTTAGAATAGAAGTTGCTAGTTAGTCCTGTCCTAAATGATTGTCTGCTTGTTTATAGCTTAGATAGTTGAAGCTTTGACTATAAGGTTTCTGCAGTTGTCCCATCCCCGATATATTTATGTTGCAGCATTGTCTCGTTCTGATTGGATCCTTTTGTAGGTTTCATTCATTGGTAGAATTTGATGATGGAAAGAGAAGCTGTCGGAAACGTCTTGATGGGCATAACAGGCGTCGAAGGAAGCCCCAGCCAGATTCTATGGCAAAAAATTCTGGAATACTTTTTGGCCAACAAGGTTAGGGTCATTCATTAGTAATAGTAAAAATGAATCATGAATGCATTTCCACCTTATTCTTAAAATTGGATACCATTATCAAATGATTGATCAAACGGTTGAATCATTTGTAGGAACGAAACTCCTGTCATTTAGCAGTCAACAAATATTTCCAAGTGCAGTTGTGAGCTCTGCATGGGCTGGTGTTGTCAAAACGGACAGCGATATGGTATTATACAACAACCAATCTCATATGAATGGTATGGACAGTCAAAACTCGTTCCCTGACTCTTCGGGTCATAGCTATAAAGGAGGAAGCCAATTCCAGTTCATGCAAGGCAGTGATCGTAGTCTGACTGAAGCGCCACTTTTTGAACATCCCACTTCTGCAGCAGGAATTTCTAGCAGCGGACAAAAGATCTTCTCGAGTGGATTAAATGATATTGTTGATTCTGATCGTGCTCTCTCTCTTCTGTCATCAGCACCTGCTGTAACTAGGGAGATTGGTTTGAGTCACATGGTGCAGCAGCCTGCCTCTATCCCGCGTTCCCAGTCACATGGCCTGCAGTATGATGGTCTAAGCCATTTCCCTTTTGCTCAAGATTTCAATAGCAAACCTCAAGATTCACATGTCAGCAACAGCAGCAGCCCTCTCCATTTCCATGATATGTTGCAAAATGCACAAGATGAATCATCTACAATCCCTGCCTCTCAGCAAACACTAGCCTTTATGTGGGACTAAACTTTTAGCCTGCCTTGCTTTCTGCGGATATCATCAAGCAAATTCCGGTGAATCTTCAATCCATCCAACCAAATGCTATTCCATTTCAGAATGTTAAGCTTCCAATTAGCAAACACTCCACATGATTCGAATGTTTGTGTAATGTATCACTTAACTTTTCTATATTTTCCCTTCATTATGACGACGATTCTCTTCTTTGTTCTCTGAATTTTCCATCCCATCTCCAAAATGTATTAAAAAATCTCTTAATTTAATTATGAAGTATATTCCAGCTTTCTGGGAAATCAATATAACCATCATTATCACTGTAAATTGTAGACAGGGGACCACAAAACCATCAACAATAGGGATTCACTTCAATCTGAAAAGCATTATGGTACATTCATCATTAACCAACTAAGTTTTTATCATCTGCTAGATTATGTTGGCATTATCATCCTCAATATCAATAATTCACTCAGTTTATTGATTTAGAAAATTAGTAACAATCATGGCAGTTTGAAAGAAGAGGGGGAGGGGGGGGGGGGGGTTCATGACAATAAATTTTCTTGTCCTTAGATAAAACCACGCAGAATAATTAAGTTGCTTACTGATTTGTGACACCTAATGTAAAGGTGTCAAATGAGCGGGTTGTATTGAATTTAAATATAGTAAAATAAGATAAATGTCAAAAATACACTTAAATTATCCCTTTATTTAGTTCCATACTTAAACCATTGAAAACGTGAATTTCATACTTAAATTATCACTTTTTAGTTTGAGACACACACCTCAATGGTGTTTATAATACGTACATATACCTAACCCTCCTGTTCTAATTTTTAATTTTATTTTTATTTTTTCATTTTGTGCTACATATGTATGTACATATATTTTTAAAAAGATTTTCTACTATTGTACGAATATAACATAAATAAATAAGAAATTTAAAAATTCTTGGGAAGTTGGAAGCAGAGGGTAAATTGGGATGGATAGAATTATTTTTTTTAAAAAATAAAATAATATCTAAATTAGTATTTTAAGGGGGGAGGGGCGGAGGGGGATTCAGTAAACAAATTAAATACTTTTATTAATGAAATTTAATGATCGGGGGCGAGGAGAGGGGGGGGGGCGGTGTGAGGAAGTGATGGAGTGGAGTAAGAAAAATATTTCACATTTTATATTATAAAAGAATATTATTGTTTTGATTGATAATATTTTAAGTTTTAATTTTAACTAGTACTAATAAAAAAGAGTGTATTACGCACACCATGATGAGAGTGGTATAAAAGAGAGAGGTGTGGTTCTCAAATTAAAAAGTGATACTTAAAGTATTAAACTCACTTTCAATAGTTTAGGTATGAAACTCAAAAAAATTGTATAATTTAGGTGTGTTATTCACACTTATATCTATTAAAATAGGTTGAAATAGAAATTAGGTTTGGTTAAATGAGTTGACTAAAATGTATTAAAAATGAATTGAGTCATGACCCGCCAATTTGATCTGCTTAATCTCAATAATTTTAACATATTGTTGTTTACCTTTTATAACCAGTTTTTGAATTTCAACCTATCAAATTTTTTAAAAAAAAGTTAAAAATTGATAGATAAGTTCTAAAAGATATAAAATAGACAATAATGCATACCTTTAATATGGGAACATACATTACACATTACACCAATACAAAAAAAGAATTTTAAAAATAGGTTGAAATTGAAGACTAATTTGAACTCAATTGAAGACTCTTTTGAAATGAGTTAAAACTTGAATAAATTGAGACTGAGCCAACTCAAATTATTTTAAAGCCCCAACTCATAAAATTTTGAACGGATTGAACAAATACCAATACATGAGCTCATTTTGACACTCGTGAATGTAAAGTTTATAGCATGATGGTGGCAACGTTGATGCTAAGGCTTCATGTTATATTTCTCTTGTTAAAGAGTGGCTTAGACTTGAATAAATGATACATGCTACAAATCTATATATCTATATATAAAGTTGATTGTGGAAACGGTGATGTGTCATCTCTTAGAACTTCTAAGTTAGAAGTCAGGATTCCTATTTATCTATTTTCTCAATTTTTAAAATCTTTTTGTGAGATTTTTGACATTTTCCTCATTTTTTAATTAAAGAATTAACTATATTACACCTTATTTAATGAAATAAAGTCATTTACTTCATATCAGTTACATATGTCTTTTGTTATCCATAATTAATTAATATTATTTAATTAGATGTAGGGGTGGGCATAAACACCGGAAAACTGAAACACCAAACCGAACCAAAATTTTAGAATTTCGGTTTTCGATTCGATATTCGGTTTACTTTTTTGTATTTTTTGATATTTTTGTTCGGTTTTCGGTACGTATTATTTTGGTTTTCGGTATTTCGGTTGAAATCAAAATATTATACTATAATTTATAAATTATATTATATTAATTAATAATTATTAATATTAAATAATCTTTAAAAAAAGAGTAAGAAACCCTTTCCCTATGGTCCTATTCGGATATTCCTCTCTCTTTCTACAGATTTTATTTTTCTCCTTTCCTCTTCCTCTCCTCTTCTCCTCTTCCTCTCCTCTTCTCCTCTTCCTCTTCTCCTCCAGCCAGAAGCATCAGCAGCGCCGGCCGCCGCCAGAAGAAGCAGCAGCGCCGGCCGTCCACCAGAAGAAGCAGCCAGCAACAGCCGCGAGAAGCAGCAGCACTGCAGCAGCGTCGACGCCCGGCCGTCCGCCAGAAGAAAAAGAAGCAGCAGTCACCGCGCCGCGCCATCAAGCAGCCAGCAGCAGCGGCGCCGCGCCGTCCGCCATAACCATTCAACCAGCCAGGTGCCAGCAGCCGCGCAGGAGTCAGGACAGGGACAACAGGTTTGTTTTTTTAATTTTTTTTCTTGACTTTTTTCATTTTTTTCTTTCTGATTTTGTTTTTGTTACTAGCTATTGTGAATTTATTGTGATTTTTTTATATATATAGATGGCTGAACAAAAACAATTACATATGGATGTAGCTGATCAAAGTCGAATAAGTATGACTGATTCTACGGATAATACACCTAGTAATAGCAATGATCCGTCGATTGGCATAGCAATAACAAAAAAAAAGAGATGGATCCTATATCTCCTGTTTGGCAACACTTTGAAAAGGTTTTTGAAAATGGTGTATTAGTTAAAGCAAAGTGCTTACATTGTAAACAATATTATGCTGCCAATATAACAAGAAATGGAACAAGTCGACTAAAATAACATTTGACTTATCGGTGTAAAGTGTATAAACCTTCGACTGTTGCACCCGGTATTCAAAAATTATTAAATATTCAAAATAACAATTTATAGACTTGGAAATTTGAGCAAGATGTATGTAAGAGAGCTTTAGTTGAGATGGTTATTTTGGATGAACTACCTTTTAGTTTTGTTGAAAAAGAAGGCTTTAAGAAGTTTATGAGTAAAGTCCAGTCTTTGTTTCATATTCCTTCTCGTAGAACCATAACAAGGAATTGTTATGAAGTTTATGGTGAATTGAAAATAAATTTGAAACAATCTTTAAGAGAAATACAACCAAGAATTTGTCTCACAACAGACACATGGATTTCAGTGCAAAGAATCAATTATATGTGTTTGAGTGCTCACTTTATTGATAGGGATTGGGTGCTTCATAAAAGAATATTAAATTTTTGTCCTATCACTAGTCATAAAGGTGAGCATTTGGCTGAGTCTATTAGTAATTGTTACTTGATTGGAAGTTGGATAACGTTTTTACTGTTACGGTTGATAATGCCTCTGCAAATGATGTGACAGTTTTAGAGTTGTCCAAAAAATTAGATATGTGGGGAACTAATTTGATAGAAGGTAAGCATCTCCATGTGAGATGCATGGCTCATATACTTAATCTAATTGTGCAAGATGGTTTGAAAGAAATTGGTCCTGCTATCAAAAGGGTGAGACAAATGGTGAAATATGTTAGATCATCTTCTTCAAGGACAAGAAATTTCTTGAAATGCGTTGAAATGCAAAAGATAGAATGTGATAAGATGTTGTCTTTAGATGTGCCTACTAGGTGGAATTCCACCTATTTGATGTTAGACACAACAGAAAAGTTTGAGAAGGCTTTTGAGAGGTTTGATCTTTACGATGGTAATTTTAATTCTTTTCTTGCTACTGATATTTGTGAAGATGGAAGTATCGCAGAGTCAATTCAATATGAAGATTGGGCTAATGTGAGGAATGTCACAAAGTTTCTTGAAAAATTTTATGAGCTCACTTTGAAAGTTTCAGGTTCACGGTATGTTACTTGTAATGTTCATTTTGAAGATATATGTGAACTTGATGCTTATTTGAAATTATATATAGCAAGTGATGACCTTGATTTGAGTAAAATGGCTTCGGGAATGAAAGAAAAATTCAAGAAATATTGGGGGACTCCTGAAAAAATGAACAAAATGATTTTTGTTGCTTCTTTTTTGGATCCTCGCAATAAATTTGTGTATGTTAGTTTTGCTCTTGAAGAATTACTTGGGGAAGAAACGAGAAATGTAGTGAATACGAAAGTAGAGGCTTACTTGAGGGATTTGTTTGTGATATATGTAAGTAAGTATGGAAAAGGTTCCAAAAGTCAACCATCTTCATCTGACTCATCTGATTCTTCTGCTAGTGGTATTTCTCAATATGTGTCCAAAAATTCTTTGAGAACTAAGTTGCACATGAAGAAACAAAAGAATGATTCTGGAAGTTTAGGTGTTAAGTCTGAGTTGGATAAATATCTTCTTGAAGACCAAGAACCTGAATCTGGAGATTTTGATATTTTGAGTTGGTGGAAAGTTAATTCTCCAAGATTTCCAGTACTTTCACAGTTGGCTCGAGATGTATTGGCTATTCCTATGTCGAGTGTGGCATCAGAATGTGCATTTACCACCGGTGGTCGAATTCTAGATCTCTAGAAGTTCATTGACTCCCAAATGTGTGCAATGTCTTATTTGTGTCCAAGATTGACTTAGACAAGAAACCAAGCCTATTTGTGTTGAAGAAAGTTTGGAGTTTCTTGAAAAAATTGAACTTGGTAAGACTTTTGGTTTTTTATTTATTTATGGAAAAAATAAAATACTTATTGTGTTGTATCTTGTATGACATGTTTCTTTTTTTTTTTAATTATAGAGATCGCACATAGTGGAAGAAACTTTTCCATTGTTGATATATGATTGACTTGCAAGCGGTGAGTTTAATACATCATTTATTTAATCATATCATTTTTTAATCTTAAAAGTAGTATTCTAAGTTTCTAATATTTGATTTTATCTTAAAAGGTC